CATCTGGGTGGGCTTGAAGGTCCCTTCCAGCCCAAACCATCCCAGGAGCTAAATTCTATGATTGTAGGTCTTGCATGATCACAATGGTGTGACAACAGAATCATGGAATCATGGAATGTGTTAGGTTGGAGGGACCTTTAAGACCACCTAGATCCCACCCCCTGCATGGGCAGGGACACCTCCCACCAGCCCAGGCTGCTCCAGCCCCAGCCAACCTGCCCTTCAACACCCCCAGGGATGGGGCAGCCACAGCTTCCCTGGCCCAGGCTCTCCCCACCCTCCCAGCCAACAAGTTCCTCCTCAGCTCCAACCTCCAGCTCCCCACTGCCACTTTCAAGCCCTTCCCCCTCAGCCCATCCCTCCTGCCCTTGGCCCAAGTCCCTCCCCAGCTTTCCTGGATCCCCTTCAGGCACTGGAAGCTGCTCTCAGGTCTCCCTGGAGCTTCTCCTCTCCAGGCTGGACACCCCAACTCTCTCAGCCTGGCTCCAACCCTTGGATCATCTCCATGGCCTCCTACTGACTCTCTCCAGAAGCTCCATCTCCTTTTTTACACCTCCTCATCTCCAACCTCCATCTCCCCACTTCCCAGTTTCAAGCCATTAACATCCCAGGCCTGGGAAAGCAGGATCCCATCCTGAGGGAATACTCACATCATTTGGAATGGTGAGTTCATGAGAGGTGGTTTGAGCAGAGGCATCCAAACCTGCTTGAGACAAGAGAAAAAAGCAGGAAAAGTTCAGGGAAGGTGGGAAGTGGGATTTGGGGTGAGGGGGGGGACAAGTAGCACAGAGTTCAGGACTTGATTCAACCTTTCCTGGAGCTGGGATGGGTGGGAAGGGCAGAACCAGGTGACTCAACCCCTCCAGCTCCATTTAGTTGTTCCCCCCAACTCTTTTTGGTCACCACCCCCAATCTCTCCCCTCTCCTCAGCCCCCCAACCCCCAAGTGTCACCACAGGCTCATCCCTCCAGACAGGACAATCCTGGAGCTCCTGGGGGGCTCCCTGCAGGCACTTGGCTCCATTACCAGCTTCCAAGGGCTACACTGTGTGTCCCCCCCCTTCTTCTTCCTCCTCTTCCTCACCATGGCAGTGCTCACACCTCAGCCAGCCCCAAAGGTGTGTGTTTACATGGATTTTTTTAGGATTATTTCCCATTTCCCCCCCTCCCCAAATCATTCCCTGCTCAAGGAACACTTGGGAAGCCTCATGGCCTCACCCTGGAGGGGTGTTTTTTTTTTGAGGGGGAAAAAGGGGTCACTAAGGGGCTTGGGGACACACACCAGGTTGGTGTTGTGTGTCCCCCACCCCATCACCAGTTCAGATCCACTCCAGCAACTCCTCAAGGCAAGGGAATCCCAAAGTGGGGAAACCCCCCCATATTCCCCAGCTCCAACACGACTTGGGGAATTGGGGAGGGGGGTTTAAAGGTGAGGGGGGTCCCTAAGGCTCATTCCCAACCTCAGGCACCAGCTTCCCAAGCCCTCCAGCAACTCCTCAACTGCCTTCTCCTAAATGGGGGGGGGACCTCCAGCCCATCTAAGGCTCCCCCCTTGACCTCCCCCCCTTTTTCCACACCCCCCACCCCATCCGTGCAGCATTTTCAGAGGGAGAACCAAGACCCCAGGTCATTATAAGACACAAGAACTACAGATTTGTGTGTTTTAATCATTACCCCAATAGCCTTTCACCTCTGGAGGGCTGGATTCAATGCCTGTTAAGATACAAGTGACAATGAGTTTTGGCTGCCTCGAGTTTAGGGAGCCCCAAATGGATCCTTTTTTTGTGCTCATTCTGATTTTTTCAAGCCTTTTTGTGTGGTTTTTTTTTTAGCAGATCTACAGCCAATTTGGTGCCAACTCCACAGTTGCCTGCTCAGGAAGTGGAGGAGCTGGAGGGGGGAAAAAAAGAGGGTGCTGTGGGGTTTGGGGGGAGGGTCTCCCAGAAGCTGCAGAGGATGGGGATGAAGAGGAAGGAAAAAGCAGCGTGGAGGCCCTGCCTGTTCCTTGCTTCCCAGGTTGGCTTTGGTCTTTGGTTTTGGCTTAGTTGTGTTTTTTTCTGGTCATTTGCACTATTTTTCAGGTTATTTTTTTTGTTCCTCAGGCCTTTCCCACCTATTTTTTTCCTCAGGCCTTTCCCACATTTTTTTTCCTGGCCATTTCCATCTTTTTCAGGCCATTTCCACCTATTTTTTTTCCTCAGGCCCTTTCCACAGACTTTTCCTGGCCATTTCCATCATTTCCAGGCCATTTCCACCTATTTTTTTCCTCTCAGGCCTTTCCCACATTTTTTTCCCTGCCCATTTCCATCTTTTTCAGGCCATTTCCACCTATTTTTTTTCCTCAGGCCCTTTCCACAGACTTTCCCTGCCCATTTCCATCATTTTCAGGCCATTTCCACCTATATTTTTTTCCTCAGGCCCTTTCCACATACTTTTTCAGGCCATTTCCACATATTTTTCCAGGCCATTTCCACCTATTTTTTTCCTCTCAGGCCTTGCCCACATTTTTTTTCCTGCCCATTTCCATCTTTTCCAGGCCATTTCCACCTATGACTTTTTCCTCAGGCCCTTCCACATATTTTTCCTGGCCCTTTCCATCTTTTTCAGGCCCTTTCCACCTCATTTTTTGGGGGGGATCTTCATTTTTTCTCTCTACCCTCTATGCCCCCCCCCCCCCAACTCAGAGAGGTTGGTACCCAAGTCAAACAAACCCACCCCCCAAAGAAAACCCCAACAAACAACACAATCATTACCTGGGCAGGCTCATCTCTTGGGGGGCGGGGGAAGGTTTGGGGTGTATTTTTTGGGGGGGGGAGCCCCCGTTTTTTTGGGGCTATGGAGGAAGAGAGAAGGAGTTTCCATACCACTGAATCCAGTGTTGCCATGAGACATTGGAAAGTGTGACTGTTGCATTGCCAACTGGTGCAGCTTGGTCAGCTAAAAAAGGGGGGTTTTGGGGGGGGGGAAGG